AATTCACGTGCATAAAAATGATAAAATTCAAATGCCGGATAACAGTTGGTATATGTAAAATTCGATAAATAGAAAATACCATATAAATATAAATTAACCAATAGCTCTATAAACTTATTTGATTTATTTCTAATTATTATATGATATATTTTATATTTATCATTTTATATTCGGGCTAATATCATAGTTCTATTGGTTACCTGATAGGACTATAATATTAAAAATTAAAACCAAAGACATATCGAAATCTGATACGTTTTCAGTTTTTATCTGTTATACAGTTCCCAATATGGCTTTATTTAACCTGTGTATGTTACTGCAGAATCTCTCAAAACAGATCCTGTCAAAACCAATATCTGTCAAATCTGATAAAATTTATCTACCAAGTTCATTTCTATTATACTGTTGAACCTCTTAAAACCAATATGCATAGTGAACCAATTTTATATTAGCATTGAGAAGTTATTAGATTTGAAAACATTATAAACTATTAGATTTATATAACAGAAATGGACTTGGTAGACTAATTTTTTATTAGATTTGACAGGTTATGATTTTGAGAGGGTTAACAATATATAGAATTCAAATTTAATAATTGAATCCAAATTTGCTCAGATTTGAATTATTATCCAAATACACAAAATAGAATCTAAATTCAATCTGAATGGCCTTTTAAAAATAGGATCAAAACACTAGTATATATAGATATTTTTTACTTTTATTTCATTATTTCAATATTTGTGAAGTAGAAAGATTGGTATATGTGAAATAGTTCATACAAATTTAGTAATGTTTTCAAAAGAATTAAAGGTTAAAAATATAAGATCTTTTGAATAGGATACACTTTTAGAAGGCATAGTAAATAATACACTTGTTGTTCTTTGAATTGATAATGAACCTGTAACAATATTAAATACAATTTGTAAAATTATTGAAAATAAAATATGGATTAATTGTTGGCATTAATATTTATAAAAGATTAGTTCAAATACTACAAAAGTTCAACCAATTTTTGAAAATTCTTCATGAATATAGTTGCTAATTTCAAAAATTATTAATAATTATAATCTTCATATAAAAAGTGTTAATATAGCTGATTAACAATGTTCATATTACTTTTTCTAACTTAAAGTTCATTAAAATTGGCTTCTATTATTTTTTTGGCTACTTGATATGTCAATTGTTAATGCACATATAATTTATTCTAACTCTAGTAACTATATACAAAATCTTTTAAATAGTAAAGAATTTCATACACAGCTTGCTTGGAAACTTATACAAGACTCAACTAGTCAAGTGTCTAATACAAGAGCTTCTTTTTTTTCAACTACTGATTCTTCTACTTCAAATATTAATGTTGCTTATGTTAGTAAAAATTTTAAACTCCAACATGTCAAAAATTGCCTGGTGGCCATTTTCTTGAATGGAAAGATAAATGGGAGGCATGTATTTGGTGTTGTTATCTTGCAAAAAAAAATAAAAAAAAATCCTCCACAAACAAATACATGGTGTCATGAATGTATGTTGCAACAATACAAGATCATATTGTAACTACGAATTTCATACACATGATGAATAATTTTCTTGTATGAAGTTTTTTAGAGATGTTTTTTTTTATTTTGATAAAATAAAACTCATTATTTCTAATACGTTAAATCCTTCAAAAGCTATTTACACAAAAATTACACATTGCTAAAATTATGTAATAAAGGTTAGTATAATAAATTAAGGAGTATTCTACGTAATGAGCACACAATAATTTACTCCGACAAATTCTAAACGGCACATCGATGATCACATAAGCATATGACTTTAACGGGGTAAATATGTATGATTATTGGACAAATTTTTACAGCTGGATCAGCTTACGGTTTAAGGGATAGTAAATTAAACAAATTATACGGATATCAGTTAATATCGATATATGATAAACTAAAATGACTGAAACAAATAAATCATAATTACATTTACCTATAACATCTTTAGAATGTTATACAGAACAAATATAGAAAGGTAATATCACAGACACGTTAAAGATCAAAATTTTTTTTTAATATACAAAGCTGCTTCGAAAGTTCGCGTGCCCTTATTTACCACCGTGATACAAACCAAAAAAAGGAAATTTTTATATGTAGATCGTAAGATCAGAAATTTGTTCGTATTTATTTTTCAAAAAATCGAAAATAACTCAAAATTTTGTCAAAATTCCTTGCAAAATTTTAGTATAGAATCTATTCTTCTTAACTTTAAAGTTAAAGCAAAATTTGCAGCAAAAAGAATATTTGTAATTTCGCGTGATTTGTATCACAGTGAGAAATAAGTAAACCCCGAGAGTTCAGCCAGATTATAAAAACTACCTATATTGCATTTATAATAAAAGGTTTTGTTTAGATCGAAAAAAAGATTTATTTGAGTGATGTTAATTCACGCTCAAGATGAAGTATAATAAACGATCGATATAATATTTAGAAAGGTCGGTCGTTTTAAGATTTTTTTTGATGTAAAATATTGAACCTGTCACTTTGATGACAAGTTCTATAAACATTGGACACATTATGAGACAAATGAAACATTTTTGAAAAATAATGTGATTATGATGATTTTTATTTATACATGCAATTTTTTTTTTTTCTATACATTAAAAAGTATTTTTATTCAAACATAGCAGGTTTTTCACCTCCTTCTCTAAACTTAGGTTTACTATTTCCCATAAATAAAGCTAAAATAAACATTAATATACTATAAAGTATTATGAAATAAAAAGTGAATTGAAATGCTAACACATAAGCGTGAATAACTGAAGACTGTTCTTCAGGTGGTAATAATCTTATAGTATATACAGAATTTGTTGAAAATGTTGGAGGTAAAGTTAATACACTTAATGCTTGTGAAAGTTTATTGTTAAATACTGTTCCGGATATTGCAATTCCAAAAACAGCTCCCACTAAAGAAAAAATAAATATAATGAATTAGTAAACTAATTTTGCAGGAAATAAATAAATAAAATATATATATATATTTGAATACTTACTACTTCTAAAGAATAATGCTAAAGTAGTAACAGAAGCTATATCCTTTTGTTCAACCAATCCTTGAACGCATAATGTAATAGATTGGATACCTATACCAACTCCAGCACCACCAATTACCATATATCCTATAAATCCACCATATCCAGTTTTTTCATTCCACATAGTGGTTAAACCAGCACCGATTACAGTTAATGTAGCAGAAACTAAAGTTGCACATCGAAATGATACTTTATCAGTTCGAGAGAAAAATTGGCCGGTTAGGATTGAGAATGCTACTACACCAAGAATGTAGGGCATGAAATCTAATCCGGATTGTGTGGCTATTTAAAAAGAAATGGTTTAAAAATGTTAAATTTTATTTGATATTTAGTAAAGGAATATTGGCTTTGATTGATAAAGAGACTTGCCTGAATCTCCTTTTACTACTTGAAAGTAAAGAGGATTATAAAAAATAAAACTAAAGAATACCATTCCTAGGAAAAAGGATGTGGAGAAACATGCAATTACACTAAGGTTTCTAAATAAATGTGCTATTAAAAAAAATAATTATAATAGTTTAGTTATAAATAGTAAAATTTGACAAATACTGAAATAATAAATCAAGCGATGAGTACTTACGTGGAGCAATAGGCTCACTAACGACGTAAATTTCAACAAGACCAAATATTATGTAACCAACAGCGCCAGCACATAAAAGCGCTATAATCACAGGACTATTCCAAGCATAAGTACTACCTCCCCAATTAAGAGGTAATAAAAGACAAACAGTCGATGCAATCATTATAATAATGCCAAGAAAATCAATTCTCTTAATTTTTCCGAGTAATGAACCAGTTGGTATTTTCATGTGAAGAAGAAAAATTATAGCGATTATTGTTATTGCACCAAGAGGAAGATTGATGAAGAAACACCATCTATTTTGGAAAATAAATTTTATAATATGTTAGTTTAATGATTTACATCAATAAGACTTTTGACTCTGATTTCACATTGTAATATATACCTCCAATTAACATGATCAGTAAAAGCACCACCCATAAGCGGTCCGGCCACGGAAGCAATTCCGAAGCATGCGCCAACAATACCTTGGTATTTTCCCCGATCTTTAGCGCTGACAATGTCAGAAATAATAATCAAAACAAGTCTATGAAAAAAAAAAAATTTAGCATGTATAAAAATTTGATGTAAATTAAAAATCAATGTTTCGACAAAGTACGTACCCAATGATACCACCACCTCCAATACCAGCGATTGCACGGTATATTATCATTGAAACCTAAATATATAATTAAGAATTGTTAATGTTACATGTATTTTAAGAAATTGGAAAGGAAAAATTGATAATTACCATATTATTAGCGATACCACATAATAAACTACCCAATTCAAAAATAGAAATTGCAAATAAGAATGTTGCTTTACGACCGAAAATATCCGATAATTTTCCATAGATTGGTTGAAATGAAGTCTATGTCGATAACGTGATTCACGTGAGTCACACATGATATATAATTCAAACGGAGAGACAAATATATATATATTAAAAATCTTGTAATTACCATTGTGAGTAGATAAGAAGTTGCGACCCATGCTATTTGATCCAATCCATTAAAATCGGAAACTATTGCAGGTAAAGCGGTAGAAACGATTGTTTGATCTAATGCGGCTAAAAATACAGCACAACCTAAACTATTATACCGGTAAATAAAAATTAAATTAATATAACTGGCGATAGATAGTCTGAGCATGTGGAAGAACTGCAAGGAATTAATAACTACGAACCCTAAAGTAACCAAAAATAATTCAACTCCATGTAATAAGCCATCATTTTCGACAGTTTGGGCTTCCTGATCATTGATATTTTTTGAAGATATTATGCTTTTATTTGTATCTTCTACTAAGGTCGGTTGAAGTTCAAGGTCTAATTCAGTATGTGGGGTGGATTGATTTTGTAACATCTTGCTTTTTCTTTATTTTTTTTGTTCTTGTTAATTATTATTATTAATTTATTAATTTTTATTACTTAATATTACTTTTATATTACTTTTATATTACTTTTTTACTCAAGGATTAATTGAAAGAAAAAAGGAATTTATAACTTTCAAGTCAAAAAATAAGCTAAAGAAAAATTATATCGCTCGACATCTTGGCCTTTTATAATTTTTTTTTCCTAGAAAAAAAATTAATTGCGACATTTCGGCATCGAAATTTAGCAATCTTGCGGATAAATTTTACCGTTAGTAATTTAATAAATAGGTATGTAAAATGACGTTTTCACAGGTAGCCCTAATTTTTTCCGCTTAAAAACATGGTTTGTCATAGGTTGTAATTACTATTTTTCCCGAAGGGAAAATAATTTTTGCGATATGCCATTTCCAATTTTTCTTTCTTAAATAAGAATGTATCGCAACTTTGTGTAATGATTAGCAATTAATAATGATAATGTATGAATATCAATATTATCCAACAAAATAGTAAAAAGCATATACGTATGTACAAGTTCATTAATCTGAGCACCAACAAAGTTAATTTAAAAAATATATAAGGTAATTTGACGAGCTGGCTCGTATCATGATCTTGTAATTGAAATAAAGAGATATGGCGTTGAACATATTACTAATGAATCGCAGCAGCTTATTAAGTGAAAAATACTCCTTCGGGTAAAATCTGATTTTATCATCTAACAAGGCTATTTCCAAAAAATCCATTTATTACAGTATATTTTTTTTAAGATTCACTATTTTGGAAGTAAAAAAATCTATTTCCCGGCTAACTACGTCATGCAAGCAGATCCATGACATTTTTAGTAGCTTAAATTTAAAAAACGATTGTAATAAGGTTTGGCCTTATTAAGCAAATAGAATATTACGCCTAAACCCATTATGTAGGCAAAACTATTATTCATCCATGCATATGAAAATGATTTGCACGGATTTTTTAATGCGCACTTTAAAAAATATTGACAGGGCGTAGTTCTAAACATTCTAATTAATTTCAATGTTCCCAGGTCTTAACGTGCTAACGTTATAATTCCAAGAATCACATAAAAATTATCAAAGATTTATTTTAACTGTTAAATAGTTTATCCCTATTGCTCATTATAACTATTCAAAAAACTAAGATATTACTGTGGCTCAAAAATTGTTGAACGTCACACTAAAAAACTAACGCCAACAGTAATACAGATTATCTTTCGGTTCGGTTATTTTATTTGTCCTTATTTTGCCGTAACTAAATGCTTCGGCCAGTTACGGATTACGCCGAAACGTGTTTCTATCGCACCTCTATTTTATTATAGACGCTAATACATGAATGCATATTAAAAATTGAATTTTAATTCTATATTCTTTATTTTACAATATAAAACATGTGCTACTGCATAAGAGTCTATAATCTAAAAACAATATAGATTGTGTGATAGATAATAAAAATCCTTGATGTTGTTCGTACTTTATAACTATTTTTGTTAGAGATTCATAACTCGAAAATACCAATATTAAATTTTAGCCAATCATAGTAATCGATTTCAAAGAATGATCAATTAGAGCCGCTAACTGATTGGTACTCCATAATTGCCAAGATTTAATCGGTTTAATATAATCATATGCTGCATAAAAAATATGCACATATTCTACACGTGCATTATTTCCCCGCTTGTACGTACGTACGTAATCCGAAAAAGTAACGTTACATATCGATATCTACGATAAAAATTATATACTTTTTACGGAAATGATATATTTATACGTATTTATGTGGCGTAATCTAAAAGAGACATGTCTTGTGTTTTTCCCTAATAACTTAAAAACAATGAAATGTATAATAATTTTCGTAGTTTTAGCTCAAGTGAGCTTTCTTTTGAATGGTTGTGAGAGCTTTTATTATAGAACTCCAATAAAAGGCTCGGACAAATTTCCAAGGCCGGAAAGCCATGAAAAAGTTAGTCATCCATATCCGATTCCTTTTGAAGAATATTATCAAAATAAAGGACTCAATTTTTTTGCTTTCGGAGATTGGGGTGAACAAAAACCTGAATCAGGACAATTTCAAGTAGCCAAAGCTTTACAAGACTGGGCTAATGAAAATACATCATTTATAGTTAATGTTGGTGGTAAGTTTAAAATATTCTTACTACACAACGTTTTCATCGAAGAATAAGAAAAATAATCCACTCTTGTTGATAGATAATTTTTATCAAGAAAACGAAAACCTTCCTTTTAATGATAAAACTGATCACGAAAGTGTATTGAGTATAAATGATCCAAAGTGGCATACTTATTGGTTAAATGTATATAATGGCACTTTGAAAAAAATATATTGGTATATGGTGGCAGGGAATCATGATTGGTACCGCACAAGTAGATTACTTTTGGGAAAAAAATATACGATTTTTTCTTCCCTCACTTTATTACGTTCGAAAGGTTTATTTTGGACATAATAACAAAATTTCAGCAGTCTTTATTCACATCGACACTAACCCTTTTTATTACGACTATGCCACATATACGTCAGATGATGACATGAAACGTAATCTTTTGGCCTTCAAATTAAATGATATATACTCGATTTAAATGGATAGAAGATCAACTAATCTCCGCTAAGGACGCAGATTGGATTTTTGTCGTTGGTCATCATCCTCTTGTTGGTGCATGCCAAACAAAAAAAGCTTCAGCTTATAAAATGCATAGATTCCCTCCACTTTTTAACAAATATAATGTATCCGCTTATATTGGTGGTCACGTACATGACATTGAATTTTCTGCAGCCAATAGAACAACAAACGTTACTTACTTCGGTGTAGGTGGTGGTGGTGCTGCGGGCTCAGATACTTGTGGTAATACAACTTGGGCTGCACCTTTTACATTTGGATTCTTGCACATCAATATTCCGAATGATGGTGATACTTTATATTTTGATTACATCGAAGCCAACGAAACAGATAAACCTTCCCGCATCTCTTATTCGGGTATCGTTCATTCTCGTAAATGGCATGAGAAATATTGATTTTAATTAACTTTGGTTTTCTTCATAAATGCATAAGTTGATACAGTATTAGTCAATTATTTATATTTGAAATTATAATTAAATTAGTTTTGATGTATTAAGCATGGAATAAAAATGATACTACGAATGAAATAGGAAAGTCGAAGTCATTAATTGCCTGCAAATGCTGGAGCCGGAGATTGGATTCTATTTAAAATATGAACCCTACTAAATCATATTTGTAATCTACTAGCCTTAACTTCTTAATTCTAATCTAGCTATAAAATTTCATAAAACTATATACGTATTTTGTGAAGCAAAAATTCCCCACTTAACATACGTAATATTCTCACTTCCTTTTTCAGTAAAAGATCCGGATAATCGGATGATTAAATACGAACTTTGTAAAAGTATCTAGTAATACTAAAACTATCTAAAGCACTACAACAAACAACTAATACTGCACTGGATCCCAATTGTAGCAGTAG